TCTATCAGGATTTTAAGTTCTCAAAACTACTTTGCAAAGACTAAAATGTACGTCCTTTTGCTCAGTTTCTGACGCTGTTTTGACTAAAATGCAATCAGATTGGACAAGAAAAAATGTCCGACTTGTAGTAAGACACCATCTATCGCCTTTAGATTAATTCGCTACTTCTTTTAGTCAATAAAAGTACAACTTTTTAACGAATACGACATTTTTTCTGTTTTTTTCGAATTTCAGAGAAACGTCCATCACATGTTCTGATTACTGTAGAAAAAATAAAAAAGAAGGATGCTTGTTCAATCTGAACGACAGACGAGCACGTTATGCTCCGAAACACAGCAAGTTAGAGGTTTAACAACTCTCTTCATATACTTATTCCAGTCTTCAACTGCTGAGAGCTTTTTATTTGTGTTAGGAAGAATATAAGAAATTGCAGCGCTGAGTGTGCAGTTGAACGCTGACGAGTGTTGAAGTTTTTTTTTCATCAAAGTTTAGAAAACTAGAATTCAAATTATGTTTTACATAATATTAGATATCAAATTAGGATGTTTGCATATCGTATCCTGACGAATGCCATCTATAAAATCGTTACAATATACGTTTTTTTATTAGGAAAGATATATTACATTCTCATATGTAGAAAATTGTTCGGTATACTAGTTGTCTCAAAGCAAAGGGCGATTCGATTCTCAAAATTCTTTTTTTTATTGTTTTGATATGTTCAGCTATGCAGTATGAATTACTAAAACGCTCATTTCGTTGTCCGTCTCATCTTTGTCTTGTTACATACAAGCGTACAAATATCCTGAACGATTTCAATATTACAACAAGAGTGAGGATCATTCGAAATGTTTAGTTCTCGATATACATATTCATAAATATCCGTGCATTTAGATGAAAATAAAACAAAAGTATGCTCAGCAATAATTTAATTTAAATCAATTGAAAATAGTCTTCCTGAACAGTTTTTCCCCAAAAAAATCATTTTGATAGATCAAGATTTTTCATCTTTCACTCTTATCGATTTTAGGCACAAACGCTTTTATTCAAATTAAATGATAAAATATCTGATACAAGATGATTTCGGATACTGTAAACGATCAAACATTTCATGTTTTTTTTTGTACTCTGACGATGGAGATGACTGGCCATTTATTTTATTTTCTATTTTTAGAATTAAAACTATGGTTTTTATACTGACGAAGTGATGTTTGGTGAGTCACCAGCTGTTTTTATGTAAAAATTGAATACACGCATCACTAGCGACTTCCGATTCTGATGAATTGAGAGGCACATCGAGACTAATCTCTTTCTTTACTTTTTACTCAATACAAATCATCATATCCATCGATAACGTCAATAATTTCAAAGATTAAATAGTCTGATTCACAATCAGATCGGTGACAACGTTGTTAGATTGAGAAGATGACTTTAGCAAGTGATTACGCAGTTTGCGAAATAATTAACTGTCTCACTCTTATAATTCGATTAGTTTCCTAATCAATGATTTTCGTTCTCAAAATTGTTTACGATTTTGAAGGGAACCGAGTCTCATATAACGTAAGTCTATACAGAGCAAATGAATATGACACAAGTAAAGTTAGAATTTCACTACGTACACACGATTTCAGTATATTTGACGATATTTACCGATTTTTCTCTTGTATTTAAGCTGAACCATTGACAAATGGTGAAAATGATTATTGACGGATAGATTTGTTTATATTATTTCATCGTGATATCTATTTATTAATCAATTCTGTAAGACAATGCATTTGTTTGTTAAATATAGAATTTAGTAATACTGTTTTCTACGTTTTGTCGTCTTAATATCGTGTACTAATAGATATTTTGAATAATTTATTAATATATGATGGATAAAAAAGAGAAGTCACTTATAATTCAATAATGTGTCGAGAGAATTTATTCGCCCGATATAACGTCCAAAGAGTTGTTACGGTAATTGGGATGAACAAACCCAATGGAACTAACGAATGACGACGAATGTATTCTTGGATACGTAATCCAAAACCATTCGGAATTTTATAAGCAATTGGTCTAAGACTGGGTTCACTATGAAAATCTAAAAAACAATATAACAATATGAAATATTTACAAGAATAAAGGAATTAATCGATTAAATAAACTTTAGTTGTTGTTTTTTTTGAAAATTTTTTCGACTATTTAACGAACAAATAGAGAGAAATAGCGTTTTAATCGATACATAGTTTGGTTATTAAATAGTCAAGGAAGTAAAAACTGTAGTTTATCTAAAATTTTTGCTAAACTGTATGTTTGCTGTTTCTTTTGCTGACAAAATTTCTTTGAATTGTATGGAGTGAAGGCGTTTGTAATCAAAATATCTAATTTACCTACCAATATGTAATGTGTAGAACCATACTTGAGTATAATTCTTATATTGACAATGACAATAAACTGTTGTTATTGGTTCTGTTATTAATTTATCAGATGAGTTTATAGTTAAATGAATACGAGTTGAATCATGTTTTACTAAAATATTATTTATTGTCCAATAAAAATAATAATTAAAATATTCATCACTATGTCGTTGAGTACATGTACAAGCTAAATTAATTTGATCATTTCGATAAAGTAATTGTTTAACATCATGATCTGCACTTTGATAAAGTTCTTCATTATTTATCAATATTATTTCACCATTTACATCTAAATACTGATTATCTTCCACATCTAATTCGTTATATGTAATATTAATTGTTAAAATTCGACTAATTAAAATTAGAAATAAAAAAATATCAGGTAACATTTTTTCTTCTCGCGTATATACATAAAAACTGTATGTTCGATTTTTAAAACATTTTTATATTGTCTATCTGGTTTTTATCAAAAAAATTAATTAAAATCTGTTTATCTTCTCTTTTGTATTATTCATATTATAACTGTAAAACAATAAAATATTTAATTGATGATAACATTTGAAAAATAGCAGATTTAATATAAAGGAAGATAGCGATAAACATACACTTTCTTTTGTTATTGTCAGTCATATTTTTTTAACTGTATGAGTTGTGTAAATAAATAGATGTTATAGATTTACTTTATCATTCAAATATCTCTCTGCGATCGGATCTAGGATTTTTGTGTGCAGATCATGATGTTAAACAATTACTTTATCGAAATGATCAAATTAATTTAGCTTGTACATGTACTCAACGAC